ATGGGAGCGCCACTGCCCCTACTGGAGTGGATGCGCAATTACACTTTATACTAGTACGGCCCAAAAAAATTAGGTCACACCTGTGGTGAATTCAGGGGAAGCTGGGAACCCAGTGGGTCGCCGGGCTCATCCCTGTGATGCGTTAAGGGGAGGCTGGGAAAATGGGACACGGGCTCATCTCTTTGGTGCGTTCAGGGGAAGCTGGGACATCTGGGTTTTTTCGACTCTTTGCTGGAACTTTCATTTCTTTGTTTTTAATGGAAGAACATCTGGATTTAGATTCATGTAACTCGTCTAAACCTTTTTCTAGTCGTAGAAACATTTATTTAAACATATGTCTGCCTCTTATCAGATTTTATTTGTCATATTTTTGTGGCTGATGAGCTCGTTTTCTTCAGCCGTAGAACCTCTTTGCTGATTCAGCATCTTCGCAGAGAAGAGTTGATCTAAAGTCGACCTGTCCCAGCTGTCTACTGGCTCTTGAACGCACCGTTTTTGCGAGTTTGTTTGGCCACATTGGAGCTTCATGATGTCACTTCCTGTCCCGTCACAGAAACTGATCCCAGAGCTGCAGAAGCTCTTCATGTCCAAGAACGAGACCAACGTCCTGAAGCTGTGGCCACTGTTTGTGAAGCTGCTGGGGAAGGTAAGGGGGGTGTTTGGTGTTTGTGTGTGAAATGCATTCAAAAGAGCCAAAAATAAGATTGTTTTTTTAATAGATATAAATTTTTCGCCGCATTTTAGTTTTAAATGGAAAACAAAAAAAATATTCCTGAAATAATGTAGAAAAACCTTTTTTTTTTTTATTCTATTTATCAGACAGGAACAGTGTTACATCACCCTAATTAGAAAATATGAGAATAAGAACAGAAAGATGATTCTCAGGCCTTTGTTACCGGATGTTGTTTCTAAGCCGTCTGCTGCCAAACCGACTCTGACGTCTCGTTTTTATGGTTTAAACTCCAAAAACTGGATGTTTTCTGGGTCTTTTTGCACAAAAGCTTTCTGCCTGTTAAAAGGAAGTTTTTCTTTGCCTGTGTCGCCTAGTGCTTGCTCATGGTGGGAATTGTTGGGTTTCTGTAGTTAACTTCAGAGTAGGTCTGACCTGCTCTGTTTCGAAAGCTGTGAGATAAACAACTGTTGTTGTGATGTGGCGCTATATAAATAAAATTGAATTGAAAAAGCCAGACGGTTTTGCTCCTGATGAGTTGTGTGTCCTGAGGGGAAGGGAGGCTTTTATTTTGGAGGGGCTAACCTCCTGCTTCCTGCCCAGCTATTGCACCGGGGGGGGCCCTTCATCAACTCTCTGCTGCACCTGGAGGAGCTCGGCTTCCGCAGCTCCTCCCCCGCCGTCAAGAAGATCGCCTTCATCGCCTGGAAGAGCCTCATCGACAACTTCGCCCTCAACCCGGGTGAGTGGGGAGGCCACGCCCATTACCTTTTCCATCTCTCTTCTAGAAGTCATTTGTTTTCTTGCTATGTGTAATTATCTGCAGTATTTATTAACTCATTGACTGCCAGCCATTTTCAGAACAGGGAAGGCTTTGGGAGAGGCTCCGCCCACCAATGGGGCCTCGTCCACTAGTAGTAGCCTCCGGGTCAGCCCTCCCCCACCCGGCCAGACCCCGCCCAGCTAGTCCTGCCTGACCCCCCCCCCCCTACCCCTGCCCCCCCCCCCCCCCCCGACACCCTGTGCAGCGCTAAGCGGGTGAAGCTGCTGATGCAGCCGCTCACCTCCATCCACGTGCGCACCGAGGCGCTGCTGCTCACCAAGGTGGAGGTGTGGTGGTACCTGGTGGTGCAGCTGGGGCCCAACCTGGCCACCAACTTCGAGCAGGTCAGGACAAACCCCCCAACGCTTGACCCTTGACCCCGTCGCGCTGCGTGCTGATTGGCTGAGGCCTGAAACGGGCCGAGAGCCCAAAGAAAAGCAGCTGGTCTGTTACCTCTGTCCACCACCGGGGGGCAGACCTGCTCCTCCTAAATTTTAGCTTTAGATTTGGGGAAATGTTAGTATATATATATATATTTAGGAAAGATGTTATTCTTCTTTGTAACCGTTACATTTCTAGATCTCACAGACATTTTTACCTAGAAAGAGGCTCTAGCATCCACTCTGAGCTCAGCCTGATGCTACATGCTAACAGAGGCTTTAACATCCACTTTTAGCCCAGC